AATCATGCAGAGACCCCGTTCTCCCAACCTGGAAAATTTAGGGAGTGGAGCCCTACACTCCCAAGATCCCCGCGCCCAGCGATGCTGGCTGGGGAATTCTGGGAGTTGAAGTCCACACGTCTTAAAGTTGCCAAGGTTGAGACACACTGGTGTAGAATTTGCTGGGCCTGTTTTAGATTTTCACTAGAACTATCCTCAGCTGGAATGTTTTTGGAGGAAGAATAATAAAAAGACCGGTTAAGTACTACCGCTAGCTGACCTTTGCTGATCATGAAAAAACCAAGCAGGATCAGACCTGACTAACACTCGGATGGGAGACCACTAGAAAATCCAGGGCTGTAACTACAGGGAGCCCTTGGGTTACAGCAGCGATTGGGGCTGGACTTTCCATCACTGAGCCATGCTGTCGTAAAGCGTGCGACCTCATTGCTTAGCAACGGCAATGCCGGCAGTCCCTGTTGCCGTCGTTAAGCAAGGACCACTGGGGAATCCAAGCAAGATTCAAGGTGCTGGTGATCACCGCTAAAGCCCTACATGGGACGGGGTCTGGTTATCTGAGGGACGGCCTATCTCCTGTGGCATCTGCCCAGGTTGGCGCCCTCCAGGTCCCCTCAATCAAGCAGCGTCATCACTCAGGACCCAGGAAGCGCACCTTCTCTGTTGCAGCCCCGGGAGCCTGGAATGAGGGTCTCCCTGAGATCTGATGCCCCCCACCCCTCCTGATGGCATTCTGGAAAGCCTTAAAGACCTGGCTGTTCTCCCAGGCCTTGGGGCAGGGTGGATGGATTCCCACCCCCCTTGTTAGAGGCGTTCTTCATATTTTATATATTTGACGTGAGTTGTCCAGATTGCCTTTCTGTTAATTCCTGTTTCTAATTTCATTTACTGTATTTTTATTGTCTTTTGTATTTTATTGTTACGTTGTGAGCTGCCCAAACTTGCTTTGGAGTTGAGTGGTGCCAAAATTGAACAAATAAATAAATGGTTTTGAGCTGACTTTATTGTTGGAGGGAGCAGAGGGGCTCCTATGGGAGTGTTTTCTCTGCCCGTTTTTTCTCCTGGTTGCCCCCTCCCCATCTGAAAAAAACAGGGGGAAGAGGCTGTTCCCTTGGATTTTAATTGAAGTGGGAGAAGCCTGGGAGGCTGCGGACCCCTGAGAGGGGATTGTACAGTGGAAGTCAGGACGCACTCGCCCTTGTAACTAAGGGAAGGCAAGAACTTCACCCATGAGAATTTGCCTGAAATTCTCCTCTCCTTTGAAATAGTGTTCAAAACACCAATGCCCCTTCATCCGGCGAAATGAGAGCCGATAGAAAGAAATGCACGATCCACTTCCTTCACCATGCTGTTTTTAGATTTAGACTGGGGATGCCCAGCTCTGTGAGTGTTGCGTGTGCGCACACACACACACAGACATTTGCTTTAGATGCAGCGTTTATCTGGGGGTGGTTCCGCCCTCAAGCAGCATTTGCCAAGCGGGCAATAGCCTCTGCAGCTGCGCAGAGCGGATGGGCCGACGCAGGGCCACAGCAGAGTCTGGTGCTGGTGGGCCCGGCTGTTTAAAGAGCAAGCGGCTTCCGGCACCTTCATGCTCCCCCCCGATGCAGCTTCAGGTCACCGATGGTTGGGGGCTTCCAGCTCACGGGAGCTTTTGGTGTTGCCGTTTACGCAGTCAGACTCCCTGGATGAGGGCTTGGGGGCCTCCAGACCTTCTCGAGCTGACAGATGGCTGTGTCTTTCCTGTTGCGTTTTAGAGAAACAGAAGAAGGCCAGAAAGATCTGGGACCACAGCGAGACCAGCAGTATCCAGGTAAGCCGTCTGCCTGCCTCCCAGACCCCCACGTCGCCTCGCTGCACTGCGCACACCTGTACAGCAGCCGTTTCCCTCCTGAGACCCTCCCAGATTCGCTAGACTACCTTCCTTCTAGGGCGCCACCATTCCTGAGATGTAGCGTGTCGTGCAAACACAGCAACTTGGAGGCAGCCCCGGGTTTGGGGAGATGGTTGGAGAGTTTTCATTGGCGCCATTGATGTCAGCCTCGCCTGGCAGGGCAGGAGGAACGAGGAGGTGGTCTGTGTTGGCTTAGGACAAGCTCTCTCCCACCGGTGTGCTGCGCTTAACCTTCGGAGGGGGCCTGGTGGCTCTTCCCCTCCCCGCTGTGTCTCTGGGAGTGTTTACTTTGGCTTCAGCCAGCTGCACTTTGTCCCTCCCCGTGGCCCCTCTTTGCCTCTGAACCTCGCTAGTGCTTCCCTTTCCCAGGAGTTGGCTGCTCCCATCCTCTTCCAGGTGCCTTGTTCTGGAATGTGTTAAAATTTGCTTTTTTCTACTTTTTTCCTTTATGAACATGTACATACACAAATCACTAAGTAACAATACAACGGAGACCTGAATGCAAAGGGATTAGCCAAGACCAAAACCTTTATTGTATAACAAATACTTTGATGCAATCAGCAGTGGGTTTTTTTTCCTAATGTTATATTCAATTTCGGATGAAAAAGCTAAATAATCTTATGCTCAGTGACACTGGCATCCTAAATTGAATTAATATTGATATAATACTTCTTTCTCTTTTCTTTGTCCTCAAAGTTATAAAGTCTAAGTTATCTAAACAATAGTTAAAAATCATCAATTAATATTGTATAAATATCACTACATCGAAACAAATATAATGTATTAAGATTTACAACAACATAAAAGAAAAAAGAATGGGGGGAAAGAAACCCTCTGAGAATCCAGGGACCTCTGAGTGAGGAATGGTGAGCTAGCACATCTCCAAACGAGGGGAGATGACAACCGCGGCTAAGACCAAAGGGCTGGCGAGTAGACCGGTCCCATGGAACCTCTCTGGATAAGAAGAGGACAGGAGATTGCCCACCTGTGCTCTGGATGGCTACTCCTCATGAGGAGACTGCAGGATAGTGGTTTCCTCTGAGTTTGAGCACTGGGAAGGGAAGAGAGGCCATCACGCTCTCAACCTGTTAAAGGACACTGGGTTTGCTAACTGCACTTTCTACTCACTTTCGAAAATTACCTATTTAACTATCTTAAGGCTCATAGAGATCTTCAAAACTACCTGGTGAGTTTACCTTCATTCCAGAATAAAAGAAAAATTAACTATAAGCTTAAGAATTTAAAGAATTTGAAATAAACAGCAAAGAATAAACAAGACTTTAATCCAAGAAAGTTATAAACAAATGAAGGGGCCAGGCAATTTTGGAATATTAGGACTTTTGCTATAAGGTTTTGGAAATATAATTATATAAATAAACAGTGCCTTTGTGGGAACTAAATTGTTTAGTCTACCTTAAG